ACACCGCTGTTCACATGACTCTGTTTTGTGAAAAACCTCTCAAATCTTGCCAGAAGTCAAGGTTGATTTCCCCATCCTGAGGGTATTTAATCCTCATGTCATTAACTTTCATTTTAATGTAGAATTGCTGAGGAGAGAAAATAACACAAATATTTTGTCTTAGGGAAAAGATCAGATATAAATTTATCCTGAAGCCATCAGAGATGCTTATCAGTGTGTTTTCTCTCTTCCCTAGCTGCATGAGCTTGCAGAAGAACCAGTTTTGCTCGTCTCTGCTTTGGAGAGAAGAGATGACTGCTGGAGAAATTCAGCTGGGCAGCAAGTCCCTGCTCAGGATGGGTTGATGATTTGAGCATGGGATAGGAAATGAAAAATATCACTGCGTGGGATCACATTGGGGCACCCTGGGCAATGGAAGGACTTGGCTCTAAAAAAAGGAGAGAGATTTTTTGCCAAAAATTTATGCAGAAAAACATCATCCGAGTGGGGCATAATTTATTTCTGCAGTTGAAACCATCTGCGTCTCTCTTTCAGCTACAACCAGCCCAGGTTTACAAAATACAAAATAAAGTGTTACATGTGATGATTAAGCCAAATCTCACCTTCTTCCACAGACTTTGCTGAGGCCGTACCCGGACACAGGACTGGCCAGAGGTAGAGCACATCAGGGTGTTCGACCAGCCCCATCCGTGAGTGCTGCTCTGGTTAAAGAGTGAAAACTAATACTGGTAAAATTACTCTTTGCAAAAATTGGATGATCTTTGCTTAAAAATTGCTTGAAAACTGAACTTTTGCCAAAAGGAACTTTTGCCAAATGTCATGTCAGCAAATAACAATAGGAAAGGGCGATTATTTTTCCCCTTTTTGGTGCTTTACAGCCACCATTCCCTTATGTTTCTTACTCTCTGTATGAGGTTAAAATAGGAGAAAAAATGCTTCAGCTGCTGCAGGTAAAAGCACAGAGAGGGATGGAGGTGGAATTGGGAAGGGTGAGATGGTTTAAGGGTCAGATGGGGCCAAGCAGGCGGATTCCATGCAGAGCTGCCCTGACGTGGCGAGGACAGAAAGAGTTAAGCTGCAGCGTAGCTGGGGGAGCTCAGGTGTGGCTCTGCTCTGCTTTCCTTCCTGGCCTCCAGGATTACAACACCAGCTTGCCAGGCTTTGGGGAGAGGTTAGGAAATGCCTATCCCAGGAGAGCTGCTCCCAGACCTGGGGCCAGTGGGTCCCATCCCTGCAGTGTGAGGCCATGAGGGCAGCACCTTCCTTGTGGACAAAGCTGGCCTGGAGGACGCTGTCGGTGGGGAAGGCAAAGCAGATGGGAACCCAGATTTGTCCTGTGCAGGCTGGTTTTGAACAGCTCTGAGAAAGCAGCCAGTGCTCAGGAGAGCAAAAAGGATGAGATTTTCTGTGACGGCGGCTTGGCCAAGAAGGTGGCAGTGGTGACGTGCTGCCTGCCCTGCCTGGAGCATCGCCAGGCTGCCCTGGGGAGCAGCGAGCTGTGGCGCCACTGGACCTGCAGCCCCTCCAAGGACACTGAGCTGCCCACCTGCAGGTTAGAGCACTTAACTCTACAACCAGAAACCTGGTCATGAGTGAACAGCCTGGGTAAGTGAAGAGCAAATATTTTTAGGTGTAACCCTAGAAGCAAGTTTGATAGCTAAGTGGGAAAGAGTGAGGTTTGAGAAACAATGCTCTTGGTCTTTTGTCTGTATGGATTTACTTTCTCCCCCTGGGAGGAGAAGGGCTCCACTTCCAAAACAAGTCGTTGTTGCCAGTGTGGGAACAGAAAGTTCAATAAAACACTTGGTCCTGTGCGTTTACCAGATGTTGCAGACAGTGCTGTGCAAAGGGCATCCCAGACTGCGCCTGCTGCCCTGGCTGCCTGGAAAGCTCTGCTGATGTGTGAGAGTCAAACGGCCTGAGATATGAGCCCAGGTCTTCAGAGACCTTGGTGATCTCACCCTGGCAGGGATCCCTCTTGCCCAGTTTAAACACTTGGCCCGAGATGCTCTAGAGCAGTTGTCAGGGCTGCACAACACACCAGTTCTCTAAGGCTGGGCACTGACCGCTTTGCAGCTCTTCTTCCAACCCTCTCCAGATCTTAGGCTGCAAGGCGGATTTGAATCCCTCCCTCCAGGTGAGAGTTTGGATGAGGTGGCTGTTTTATACTCCTCTTCCAGCAGTTTTTTAAATCATGGATGGCAGGATTGCATTTCTACGGGCACATTGCCTTCTTTCACTTACTGACATGTTTTATTTCCTGATGCTTGTTTTGAGAGAAGGTGGCAAAGCTGGACAATATGGGATGATGTCTTCTGGTGCTGCTAAAAAGGTGCAGGTCATCCAACTTGGATGGTGACCTAGTCCTTTTTGCTGGAGAGGACTCTTGCTGGGCATCTTTGGCATCCAACACCTACCATAAGGCTCGGAGAGTTTTTCTCTCCTTGGTCTTCTGACCCCAGAGAGGGTGGGTCAGTGATGGCTCTCTGTTTGTTCACAGGATCTTCAGACTCACCTGGTGTATGACTGGAAGCCAAAGTGTCTTGAGAAAGCAATTCTCATACTACAGAGTAACACCCAGCTGAGTATGGTAATGCAGAACACTGCTGGGTTTGCTCCCAGGTTGCTGTCGGTGCCACAGATGATCTGCCTCCCTGCAAAATGATGATAGTTACAATTCTTCCCAGTTTCTACCAGGTGGTTTCTAGGGGCATCAGCAGAGCTCCTGGTGGAGGAGGAGAATAGGACTTAGTCTGTGATGGGAGAGATTTCAGTTTAGGATGATTTTTCAGTCTGTAGCAGGGGATTGACTGGATGGCTTCTTGCAGTTCAGTCTGTGCTCATTAAACCCAAGTGAGCTAGGAATGAACTGACCTAAAATCTACAATTCTGGCTGACATCTGATGAAGCCAGTGTGAGATGCTACAGCATGAGATAAAAAGCCAAGGTTCCCTGGACTGAGCTCTTGCTGTGTTTGGATCTGGCTTTCAAGTGTCTCTGTAATGCACAGTTCAGCACAGGGTTACACCCAAATACTGATCCCTGGGTGCTTTGGGCATCAGGAAAAGTCAGACCATGTCAAACCCTGCTGATGCTGTGGAGCAGTCATGATCTGGGAGAAGCTGGGTCTCAAGCAGCTGGGAAATCTGAACCTCGAACTCCATGTATTCCCAATAAAAGCCAAACTCACCAAGAACCTGTTTTTCAGGCTGACTTGTTTTAAGCCTAAATGAAGATTTCTTCATCTCAGGAAGGTGGAACTCCCTTATGTAGGGTTTTGTTGGAGATTTATCCTCCAAACTGAGCCTTGGTTGTATCATCCAGCTGCCTGTTGAGTGTATCTTTGGTGAATCGTCACTCCCAAGGGCACCAACCACCCAAACTAACAGCATCACTTACCATCTTCAGCAAAGTGTGAACTATAATGGAAATTATAACACCCAAAATAGTCACAGTGGTTGCCTACTGTTACCAGCTTTGTAACAAACTTCCTTGAAAAACAGCCTCAGTCCTGTATTTCAAAGCTACTGCAGCCCCAACTGCCTCTATGCTCTTGAGTTTTCCCTTTCCAAAAAGGCGTTGGACATGCCAGTGTTCGCAGGGGAGGTACCCTGGGGTGGAGAGGGGCCAATAGCATCAGGAGACGACTTGAAGGACGGTACCACAGGTGGCTTCTGTCCCATAGGTATCTGTCCCAGGTGTGGAAAGCCTTGCAGGAGGATTTAGGCTGCTGGTGGTGGCAGTGGGGACAGCCCAGCGGGAGGCAGTGGCCTTTTGGGAGAAGAAGGGGAGCATGGCTGTGAACCACATCAACGGGATAGAGATCCACTTACAGCACAAGCAAGCTTTCATTGAGAATAAGCTCATTGAGAAGATGCCTGCTCACAGCCCCAAGGGACTCTTCTTAAATGTAGAGGTGTCTCCCATTTCAGTGGCTGGAGGGATGGGGAGCCAGGAGAGCAGTGCCTGCCCGACCACCGCAGCATGCCATACCCACCTGCAAAATGCCCCCAACGCGCAGTGTCACAGCCTGAATCAAGTGAAGCTCTTTATTTTATGCCTAGGAGTGCTGTGGATTCAGGGTGGATGCTCTTCCCAGCATTGACATCAGGCTGAAGGACAAACTGTCTCCAGTCAGATGAGTCATCATGGAGCCTGATATCTGCTTGTACTTATTTTTGCAAAGCTGCACCTGGGGGCATGTGGTTGCTTACAAATAGCAATAGCAATAGCTGATAGCTCTGTGCTATCACCAAGTGCAAAAAGCAAAGGCCCAGAAAATTGCATGTGAACCAGACTAGAGCCCACTCTACTGCCCTTTCTCTGTGATAAGATTATTGCTTTGGATTTGCAATGTAACACTGGCTGCTGTGACAGCAAGCACAACAGGCCAGGAACTTCTTGAATTTTTTTGATTTGCTGAAACTGGAAATTTTCAGAGGGCCTGATAAAACTTCCCTTAAGAAAACGTTTCAAATCCAGGAGGGACTTTCTTGTCAGACCTAGAAAGAATGAGAAACAGCCAGATAAAAAGGGCATGAACTCGCAGTGTGAGCAACAGAGACCAAACTCCCTGCTCATCTTGCTCGAGACAAGATGCACGAACTCACCATCCCGGTGAGCCCCTGAGACCAGGGTCAGGCCGGGAGCTAATTCTGCTTTATCTTCTGGTGAATAACTTCAGGTCTTGTCTTGACAGGGAATGGGAAAACTGTAGTGATTGCAAGATGTTTTCAGAGCTGACAGCACTGTTTCTTGCCTGGCTTTAGTGACAGGTTGTGATGAGGCGTTAGCAGGTTGCGGGATGATCAAACAGAGAAGGGAGGGATGCCCCAGACCAAGAGGGATGCTGGGTCTCACTCCAACGCCACCTTAGAGCAGAGGGCAAGAAAGATCAGGGGTTTATGCCTCCCCCTTTGGCTTTGTCCTGTCTTTCTTTAAAATGATAAACAGCAGCAGTCAGCCAATAATGATTTAGTATGTGGAAAGCCTGAGCTTTATCGGTGTCCCTACCCTGGCTCCTTTTAAGTCTCCGGTAGAAATCTCACGAGCAGCAAGTTATAAACTAGCTGAGTTTGTACCCACACAAGGTAATGGGGCTGAGCCTCATAAATCCCACCAGTTTATATATATCAGCCCAGTTTCCTCCACAAAAGCAAAACTACCAGGTACAAGCAGTGATGAAGAGAAGGGCTTGTGCTGGCTGGGGTCAATCTGGAAAAGCACAAATGTCAGCAGAGATGGGGGCTCAACCACCAGCGCTTCAGTGCGTTTGGGATGCTGAGCTGGCCTCTCTCCGTTTTCAGGCAGGAATAATTTCTCTTAAAAACAGTGGTCGAGGCAGCCCTGCAGAATAGCTCGAACACCTCTAGGCGGCACAAGAGTGTGCCTGACCACAGCTGGACACGCAGCCCCTCGCTTCTGTTCCAGCTCTGCGTGAACCACTTGCAGATCCTGAGGTCGGGGAGTCCTTCCTGACCTCTGTCCCCCGTCGTTGTATGTCGTTGTGGGCTGGAGGAAGCAGAGGTGCTGTGCAGAGCACCTCGAGCCCTAGTTGTGTCCCAAAGCACCGAGAGGCTGATGTGGGCTTGCCCAGGGTGAAGCTGGAGTCAGGCCCCACATCTGCACTTACTCACAAAATCCCCTGTTTGGATGGAACCTCCGCAGCACTGGCTGGCAGATTCTCATCCTCTGGACACTGTGAGGAGCTGGTCATGCACAGCTGAGGACCGTTACCCCTGTCCCCATGGTATGTGGGTTCCAGGTACCACAACCCCTGGTTAGTGTAGGATCAAAATCACAGGGTCTGCAACTGGACCACCCAACCACCACATATCTGCCCCCCAATCAAAGTCAAGGAGTGATTTCCTCAAGTATAGGTTCTGGGGTTCAATGGTTTTCATACTGACCTGCCTTTAAGGGGGAAGTTGGTGAGAGATTTCTGGAGATACTGAGTCTCCCCTGTCTTGGACACACAGCTCTGTCAGCAGTGGTGCAGCATGTGCTGGAGGCATCTGTCTCCTGCCACTGGCTGCAGAGAGAGCCTCAGCATGGGCTTAGACTCCTATGGACATTAGGGAAAAAAAATCCAAACTAAACAAAGGTTTATGGATTAAAGTCTTTTGTAGGAGACTCTTACAAGGAATTTGGTTTACTTTCATTCATTTAAGAACTAAACTGAGTCATGGTCATTTTAATTCTGCTAAAAATGGTACAAAGAAGTTTAATGTGACTTATCTTAATCCACTTGAAAAATCAATTCAGATTAATTTTCTTGAGAGTCTTGCATAGTTTGCCTTTGATTTTTCACATGTTAATTAGTTTTATTGTGTGTGGCTGAAACAGCATGACCGTAGCTTCCATCAGTCACAGAAAATGCTCTTGTGGTTATGTGCAGACTTTAAATACAAAGCTCACGTGTTGGGTAACCAGGACAGAGAATGCTCCTGGATAGCTCCTGTTAACAATTGCACAGAATCATTGAGGTTAGCAGGGATCTCTGCTCAGAGAGGGGTCAACTGGGGCAAGCTTCCTGGGGCCATGTCCAGCTGGGCTTGAATATCTGCAAGGATGGAGACTTCAAAACCTCTCTGGGAAAACTCTTCAGATATTTGTTCACCTTTACAGTAAAAAAGGTTCCTCTTATGTTTCAAAACCACTCTTCCCTGTTTTTCTGTTTCCCTTGGCATGTGATGCAGAGCTGGAGACAATCAAAAACTGACCAGCACTGCTCCCTGGGAACAGCTGTACCAGACCGTCCGGGAAGATTTGAACACTGGCATCAAGTGCTGTCTGACAAGAATTTGTACTTTTAGCCTCTACTATTTTAAGATTGAGATACATGGGGCTGATGTTTACCCTGGCATGACAAACAGAAGCATTGAGCAGACAGGGTCAGAAAGCAACAGCTGCACCTCGCGGAACAACTTCTCCTGGAGCATCCTGCAGAGTTGGAAGGGGTTTTGTGCACAGCACAGTGATATGGAGGTGCCCCTCAAAATGAATGTGTTTGGTAAGATAGGGGGTCTACCTGAACTACCCCAGCAGGACCTTGTCCTTTTACAGAGTCACCTACAATGATGTGACCTTGATGCACCAGTTTGAATATGATATTGCTGAGCCCTTCTACCCCAGCTTTTGGCTTTTGAAGAAAGAAATCTGTTCAGGATGATGTGGCTGAAGAAAGATGTTGAGAAGATCCCAACCTCCTTGTGTTCCTTTGGGGAGCTGCTCCCTTGAAAGCATTGGAGTCAGAAGAACTGGCCAGTCCCTAGATTGTGGTGTTATGCCAATGCTCTTGCTGCAGGTAGCTGGGTGAAGAAAGGAGAGGTGCTTCAATAAAGACTCTTGTAAACAAATGTGGTTCTGGGCATCCTATATTTTACAGGTGGACAAGCCTTGAGAGTCCGTGCAGTTGCTTCAGGATTGGGGTGGCACTGGGGAGGTGAAAGGTCCCTCTTGGTCCTCCTACCCCCAGGTCTGCACTGAGAACAACGAGCTACGAGAGAGGCTGGCGCTGGTGTTGCTTCTGGCAGGAGAGTCCCCGCAGTGACCCCCAGGAACAGCCCCAAACCCCCTTCCTTTTCCAGAGGTAACTGGGAAGAGGGTGGAAAGCGCTGGCGGCGTGAGCAGGGAGCAGCAGAGGCCCCAAAAGTCTGGAACCAGAAGGATGAGCCAGAGACCGGGAGCAAAGTGCGCTCCCGAGCCGAGGAGCAGCAGCGCAGCTCTCACCCCACAGGAGGGTGCTCTCAGCCCGCTGCTGGCTCTGCTGCCTTCCTCTCCCTCCTCCTCTCCCTCCTCCTCTGCCGGCGGTAGCAGGGAGAGGCCCTGCAGCCCCCATGGACCCCGATGGTCCCCCCTTCCCTGGCCCCCGGCCGCCCAGCCCTGCCGCTGCGTCCTCGCTCGCTGCCGTGGGACCCCCACTGAAGTCCCGTGTTAAAGAGGGGTGACTGGGGGGTGCTCTCGTGTCGGGTGATGTCTTATGAGCCCCAGCGCCCTGCCCATGCTCCCCTTCCCCTTGGTGGCTTTTGGCTTGACCACAGCTTTCGGAGCCCAATGATAAGCTGAGGGGGCTGCTGTAAGAGGGTCCCAGTGTGGGCTAATTTAGCTGTGCACTCTGCTAAGGGACCTTGGCACTCAAAGTGACCTTTGCAGCCCCCTTGCACCCAAGGCCAGGGAACAACTGGGTGGGAAGCAGAGAAACACCATCGCTCTGCAGCAGGATGTGTCAAGTTGTGGGCAGCAGATCAGAGCTGCAGGGACTGCTGAGAAACTCAAAATTTCCACCCTTCAGAAGTCAGCAGAGCCAGGAGAAACAGAGGAGGTGAGTCCATCATTGCTCCATTCTGCAAAGGGGGAAACTGAGGCAGGGGTTGGAGAAACGATTTGCCATCTGTCACCTAGCAGAGAAGGGCATCTAGGTCTCAGGGTGCCTGGTGAGCACTGGGCCAAGTGCAGGGTTGTACCAAGTTACTGCCTTTGTCCCAGGGGCAAACTTTAATTCCTTGGGGCTGTGATGGATAAACATTTATTGTGCTCTCTGTACAAAATAAAGCCAGAAGTAGCAGGGTAAGGCAGAGGAAAAGAAAAGGCACCAACGCATGGCAATCTGGGCATGGTTCTTCTACCACTCACCAAAGGGTTAGCCAGAAGCCAGATTTTAATTTTTGAATGTTTTCCTGGAGAGAAAAAGACAAATGAAACACTGAACAAGGCCAAATCAAAGCCATTGGCTGTTGAAATCCAAATGTTTTAAGTTTATTCTCATTTAACCTCTGTAAAAATATGTGAAATGGAAAAAGAAATCCAGTTTCTTATGACCCAGTCAGTCAAGAGTTAGTGTTTCATAAAATGGCACAGCAAGATACAGTGTCTCAGAGATGAAGCTGGACAATGGCATCTGGACAAGAGATGCCCATTTCCATAGTGAGGGCAGTAACAACCAGGTCCCCTTACCAGGTCCAGAGTGGCTTCTGCACTGCCAAAGGCCAGTAAAGGAGCGGTGTTTAGCTAAAAGAAAATTTGCTTTAGTGATGGGTGTGTAACAGCTGGTGCTTAGAGCGGCTCTTTGGTTCGTGTTATGAGAAATGTCAAATTACACAATTAAATCAGTCCCTGTTGGTTTTAAGCCTTATGGATCCGTAATCCTAAGGGTGCACTGATGGATTTACTGCCATTTCACCCGTACTCATTACAAGAGTATTTTATTCCAAAACACTAACTAGAGCAAAGGGGCTGTAAATCGCACCCATGCATCAGCCCTGGTGGAAGAGGATCTGATGCTGCAGAGGGTGCAAAGGGGACAGTGTGGCTGAAGCAGAGGCTTCCCACTGGCTGCGCAGCCTCAGGGGGCTTTGAAATGAGGACGTGAGAAGCACTGGGGCTTCAGTGAATCTCCAGCAATCCCAGCAAAATGGGTAGAGCATTGCTTCTTTCTTTGCAGGCTGAAGTTTCCTTTCTCCTGGCAGCACCCTGCACCCACACCTGGAATGTCCCCAGCTGTGCCCGTGCCTGCCCTTGTCCTGGCAGAAGTAAGATTTAATGTAGGAGAGATGTGCTTCCAGTTCACCATGGCATGGACAGAAAGGAGAAACAGCCACAAAACTTGCTTATCTTGAGCTGTTGCAGACGTGGGACCAGCCGTGGACCCAACTCCCAAGTGCAGCTGCAAAACCAACTCCTGTGTCCAGGCTCAATCTTGCTCCCCCTTCATCCCCGACAAATTCCACTTCCAGCATCATGGGTGCCCCCGGCCACAGATAGGGATCACGGTGGTGGCACTGCATAGCCCCGTGCCACAGCTAAGGACAGAGATGGAGAAACCTCCCCTCAAAGCTGTCTCTGCTGCTCTGCTCAGCTCTCATTTCAGTTTGGCAGCCTATGCCCGGGAGTCACATATTTTATCCCCGGAGTGCCAAGCTGCTCCATCCCCAGGCTGGGTTCAGGGATTGGCATGCAAATAAGCCCACTGCTGCCTCAGACTGTGATAATTAAAAGTGAAGTTGTAAAACAAGCAGCATCAATTTTTGGTGCATGTCCCCAGCAACACATGGTGATTGGACTGAGTTAGGAGACATTTCCAGCTACGCAGCAAACTCTAAATAGCCTGGAGAGAATACATGGGAATTTAGCTTGTGCAGCAATTTCAGATGTCAAAACAAGTTTCCTTGTTAATACGAAACTATTTGGACTTTGCATTTTTAATTAAAGCTTTTAATTATCCAACTGTATTTTATTAGCTTTTATGAAGACAGCTGCTTTAAATGCTGTAAGCCAAATCTGTGCTCTGAAGCACTACTTGTCCGAGACAGGGTTTCGGTTGTGAACAGCCTTCATTGTGAGTAAATGGGGTTGTTTAATTTAAACTAGAATTTACTGTCCCAGCTTGATTGAAACTCTTTTATAGCAGAGACAATAAATAGCCTTGGTGGGAGCGTTTGGCTGGGAGGGGATTCTGTGCTGGCAGCCCAGGGACTCGCCTGTCAGCCCTTTCCGGGGTGAGCATCAGCTGCTTCTGGAAAGGATTTCTCTCCCCACCTCATCTCCCTCCTCACATTGTTTTGTCTTTGAGCACTAGACTGAGACTGAAAAGTTCTGGATGGAAGCCTCTTGCACCCTTGTGATGGGTTTTGAGATGCTCAGGCCCTGGAGCTGGTGCTGCGGTGGGTCCCTGCAGAGCGGCAGAGTCACCCTCTCCAGTGCAGGGGCTCAGGGGAACTTGCTGGGCTCTGGTTTGCAGGAGGTCATGCTTCAAAGCTGGTCTTCTCCTGTGCCTACTCTTCACTACTGTGATCACAGACCATCTTTATCAAGCAATAGCTAGTGCTTGTTGTCCTGTTCATAACATGGATTACTTGTTCAGTGGGATCATGTTATTTACAAGTACAGTGTGGCCTCTCTTGGTTTAAAGCATGCCAATGGTTCAACAGGTTGTGGAAACCTTTATGTCCTGCCGGTGGAGGAGAAGAGGAAAAGAAGGATGAAATATCTGAATACAATTTCAAGGGAAGAGCTGACAATCATAACAGGGTTTCTGGCTGGAAAGCAGCCCTGTGCTGAGCTCAGCGCCAGCTTCGTGGAGAGCGCACTGGTTCAGGACCTTACTCTTCATCACTGTCAAAAATCAGCAAAATGTACTAAATCACCTGTAATTTGCCAAGAAGAAAGGCAAAGTGGGCAGCTTTTAAGCACTGATGCAGGTCAATCCATAGCTACTGAGACCTAGCAGGATCACAGGCTGAAGCGACAATAGCTGCGCATGAAGCTGAAAGGGCAGCTCAAGACCTCGTGTGTGCGTTCCTGTGTTAGAGGGCAGAACAAAAGCCTTGGTGCTGAGCAGGTCTGTTCTCTCCAGACCCATGTGTAGCTGCTGGCTGTGAACTTTCTTCCATCCTCTTTTGTGTTTCGGGTAAGCTTAAGCTGGGATTGGTACAGGTGGAATATTGTTCAAAGGAGATGCCCCTACCAGTCATGGCATGCCGGGGCCATAAGGACAGCAATGCAGACATTGTTAATGAACATGTATATACACTTGTGCATGAGCTGGAAGATCAATTAATTGAATGTCTTCTGGCTTACCTTGGACCAAAGCCTGCATTGGCAATTTGGACCCGAGGAGCATTGCAGTGCAGATGACGGATTTCTCCAACGGATGGATTCAGAAGTATCTCCCATTTATCCCATGCCCAGTGAAAGCTGCTGTTTGCACTGAGGGCTGCCCTGTGCTTAGGGATGTTTTTTCTCTGATGATAGCATCTGTGTCCAGCAGTACACTGGGAAGGGCACTGACACCCACGCAGGGGTATGTCCCAGGAGACCTCTGGATAGAAATTACAGTGATAGGGATCATGTCCAGCTGGCAGGTGACACATGTAGACAGACCAACAGAGCACAGGGACTTGGCTGGGCTGGGACTAGTGTAGAGAGCGGCTCTAAAAATCTTATGATCTGACTCCTGGTCAAAATCCATTTGTGTGGCCCTTAGCGGGGACAGTCTGACAGCTCTGCTATGGCCTGCTGAATTTATTGGCCTCTTTAGGAAAACATCAGGCATCATTTGGTGTAATTTCATTTGTCTTTCCTTTTTCCTGCCTGGTCTGACCCTGATGCTAACACTGAAACTCAATCAGCCTTTCTTTGGCACGGGGCTGGAAGGAGCCAGCACCATGAGAG